AATACATCTGGGTCCAGGGAAGGCTTCTTAAGGAGGGGCCTCACCAAGTGTCTGGATTTTGATTACATGACCATGGTGAAGATGCAATGGTTTTAAGTGTAAAAAATTGTCATAAGTCACTCTTTCAGTGCCATTACAACTTCAAACGTTCACTAGCCAAACTTGTAAGTCAAGGACTACCTGTACTGCACTCAAAGAGCCCAGTTAGGTGATATACTTCTCACCCCCTTCAGACAATACAGAGAAACGGGGATGTAGGATCAGTATATCAATTACATCTCAGCCCATATCCCCTAATGATTTCACCCAGTAGTTTCATATAAACATTGAATACTATCAAAGAAAGACAGCATCTTGGGGCATGCCATAGTAAGACTCCAGAGGACCAACCCACAGTCTCTTAGTACGAATCTTGGGAACATACTATTAAAAGCACAAGTGTTACATAAAAGTACCCCCAATTCATACAGCTGATCAAGGACAATACTTCTATCAATTGACAAAGCCAGAAGAAAACCAAATGAAAAACACAGTTTCTCTCCTGTAAAGGTCAGCCAAATCAAGGCCAATTTTTTCACATAATCCAGATGAAACACAGTCATTGCTAAGAACACTTTCAGTTGGATCACCACCCTCCTCTGGATTCCTTTACTCAGAAAGAGATATTTGCCTTTTTGGCCCAGAACAAACAACTTTCTGAAAAGAGTAGTCAAAGCATCAACCCCCTCCTCGAAATAATTTAATTGATCAAGATGACTATCTTATTGGGCAAGAGTCAACATTTGCAGTCTGGATCCTCAGCTTACAAAATTTAGACTGTTCCCACAAAACTAGACAAGAGGCTGCCTCAGACACTCCATTTGAATGTGAAACGATGGTAGCATTTACTAATTATGGATTACTTTACCTTGGCATGTCTTGCAAATCTCCACATAGCACAGTGGGCCTTTGATAGGTCTAATACTAATCTGCATGTAACTTTAAAAACCTCTGTAGATTTGTTACTTGAGAATGCAATAAAGCTTCAAGAAAGTCCTTTTTACCATCCTCACTGTAATATAGCAGGTGCAATGACCCAGATGTTTCATTCAACCTCAGTAGTATTCTAGACAGTAGTATTCTCTTTGTTTCCCTGATTGTAGTTACTAGCAAAAATCTAAGCCCTGGTGAAGGGCAATGTCAGCAATCATGTCAATTGCCCCTAAAATCTTACTGGATCTCATAATTTCAGAGGAAAGACTGTTTTAATGTGTTTCCTAGTCCTGCATATTTCACCACAAAATGGTAGGAACATGACAAATGAGTGATTTCAATCCTAATTACATCCAGACTGCCTATGCCAACACCTGAAGCAAAATCTAAATTAAGGGTGTGTCTGTGATACATTTCTGTTAATTTACTTTAAGGGTAACTCCCACTGGTATTGATTAAAAGCTGGGGTCAAAAGATTGTAGAGAAGTATCCTGAGCATACTTTGTGTTCTGCTTCTGTGGGCAGAATAACAAAGTGGTATCAAAAGTGGCTACAGATTGCTGGCTTCTGGTTTTGACGTCACGATGATGCAGACACAGGAAGATGGGACTCGATTTTGCCCCGCTAGGGGATCCTGGAAAGGGGCGAAAGTCACCCTGTAGAGGCGATAAGCAAGGAGGGGACCCTCGCTGATCGTGGGGAGGCAGCAGCCCTCCTGTTTGATCCGAGGAAGCCCTCCAAACTGGCAGGGGAAAGACTGGCTACATTCGCATAGTGTAGCCAGTCAAAAGCTGCTCACAATGAAAGACAATAAGCACCAACAAGCAATCTTACAGCAACGTGGATGAAACTGGNTTCCTGAAAAACTGCCCAAAGCACTCTCCCTAATGAGAGGGGGAAGGGGAATTTCTGCCCCATTCCCTCAGGAAAAGAAAAGCAGCGAATTAATTACTTGGGGAAAATGGAGAAACCTACAAGACTAATTTGGAGTTAATATATATAGATGGTTTGGAAATTTGGGGACTAAAAGTGCTTTTGAAAAGTTTACAATATAAGTTTTGGATTTAAAAACTGAAAACGGCATTAATGAAATCTAGTGGTGAATTATGGCACTACAACTTATTATGCCTAAAAAAAAAACTGGCTTGAAGCCCAGAATTAGTAAGACTTTGGCTGGCCTTGGAAGCTTTCATTTTTTAAGATTGCAGCTGAGAAAAGGGAACAGACTTGGGGGCTGCTTATCTGTGTGGCAGAGATGATAAACTACTCTAAAATTGGCCTGTCTGAACTATGAACACAAATACTTTCAGACTGTATTGTGGAACTATTTTCCTGTAGAAGAAACATACACTATTGTCTGATATGATGGAACATTTTGGATTATAAATCTTGATTGATAAACAATCTTTAATGGTTCTTTCTTCTCCCTGGACAGAAAGGATATATTTCTCATTGGACAGAAAAATTTGAATTTTACTTATATTTGCTTAGGGGAGGTTTAAGAACAGATTGATAAGTGGGTTGGGTAATCTGGAGCTCCAATGACAATTAACTGAAACTTTCTAAACTCTTAAAACATATTTCTATAAAGGCCACTTACAAAAAATAAAATGGATGTTCCATATTTAGCTCTAAATGGTAAAAAACCATCCTTAAAAATAACAAAGGAAATAAAAGAACAATTTTCTAAGTTAAATCTACAAACTCAGGAAATAACTAAAGAGAAGGAACTAGGAACCCAGAAAATAGAAGGAAAACTAGAGAATGCTGACACAAATACAGAGGATCTAAAGGAAGAAACTAATAGCCAGACTCAGACAAATGAAGACTTAGAAGACATAACGATAATATTGGAAATGGAAAAGACATTCTACCAACCAAGATTTCAGAGTATACTGGAGGATAAGGAAGGAGAGCCGATGGAATGGAAGATAGAGCCATTAACAGAACTGTGGGGAACTGGAGAAGGAGGAAGGCTGTTTAATAAATATCAGTGGGCTAGCTCTTCCAAAAATAAAGTACTTTAACTAAATTGTTTCTCTTGTTCCAAATAATATACACAAAAATAGAGGAAGAATTATTTGATGATCCAAATGCACTGACTTGGAAAGTTAATTGGCAAAGGAAGAAAGCTAGAGTAAGACTGAAGAAAACAGAAGCTTTGACCTATTAGAGGGACTGTTATATTATTAATTAGATGTTTGAATATGGTTAAGAATATATTGCTAGAAATAGAAGTATTATTATAACTAGATAGATAAGATTTGTAATCAGAATACCATATCTTGGTATGAAAAGGAAAATAAGAAAATGCTAAGAAGTTTGAATAAGGGATGCTTTTGGTTACCCAAATATAACTTGTTTTGAAATTATAAATGATTGGGATATTTTGAACATGGATGGGAAATTAAAATTGAAAAAAGCAAAAATAGGATATGGACTGAATAAATGGATATTGAGTGCAAATGCAATTAAGATATGTTTTGGTTAGAAAGGATATTCTAAACTGATATTATTGATACTATTAGAAAACTGTAACAAATGCTGATATTCAACTGTATATTTATTAACAATAAGAACTGTATTTGCTTAGTGTGGAAAAATGTCTATTACCGGAAGAAGAGAGGATGTATTGGATGGTGTAATATTGGATTTAGTTTGAAGAAGCTTATATGTACCACAGAATTATTAATGGACTCAGTCATCACATTGTCTATTAAGCACTTGATTGTAAAAATAGAAAATTAATAAAATATATTTTAAAAAAGTGGCTACAGATTGCTGAGCTCAGACTAACTAGAAAAACTCAGCAGTCAGTGCATAAAGGATGGGGAAGTAGAAACCGCCACAGAAAATAAGCCTAAGATATATTTGTAATGAAACGTTGCATGCCACTCCCGCCATCACCACCTTTATTTTTCTTAGTAGGCCTTACACGGCACTGGAAAAGATGGGAATAACTTCTGGCTTTCCACAGCAGACTCGGCAGATGATTAAAAAGTCAGAAGACTCTCAAGTTCTTCTTTTGCAATTCATGGTAGGAGAAGAAACTCCTGTTTTGGAGCGAGTCCTGATTTATTGAATTGACAATGACTAACAAGACATTTTTTCTTTCATCTCTTTGGAGGATGCACTCCAAGTTGGTAACATGAGTTTTTTTTAAAAAAAACAAAAAAAACCCAAAACCTGCACTAATGTCTTAAGTTAGTAAATCAAGGAACTGTGAATTTGGAGATTCAGAAGATGAGATGAAACTTGTATTTTGTGTTAGTGCTAAATTGCCAAAAGAGAGACTATTAAGGGACTCTGATTTGGAATTACTGTAAGCAATGTTGGTGTCAGCCTGAGATACATGTTACTGTTCATTCTCCAATTAATGCTTGTCCACAATCACCTCAGTGTGGTAATCTAGCTTGCTTGCTACTTTATGTTTCAAAGAGCCAAACATTTCCATTAACATAGGGGTAGCTGATTAAACAAGAGCATCTTTCATTATGTGACTTGAACAAGAGATCACAATGTCACCATCTTACCTGATTTGCTCTATCTACATTATCCCTAAAAGGGAAAAATGCATCAGAGCTTAGTGAGACACCATTTAATTTTCCAATCCAGGCCCTTTTTTCTGCTTCTGTAAGCAAACTGGGGACTTCCTCAAATTGTGCCTTCCACTTCACAAAATCTTCACCCTGTAAAAATGTATTTTTAATCATCTGCTAGATGGAGGAAATCTCAATCATATAAACATGGCAAATACAGTGACAATGAAATATATTAAGCAGTGAGTCAAGTTGTCATCTTTGGTGATTAGATGTGCCACTGCCTTACAGGAGGATTCCTAAAAATGAAGACATGGCTCTTTCAGGTGGATCACTGTTGAGTCCTTAAGAATGAGTTGCTATTCCATAAGCCATGCCAGATACCCCCATGCCTTTTTTGGAAGAGAATATACTTGGAATATATGTACACTCTAGGAAGCACAATATTCTTGAGGACTCTGTACCAGGCCCCTGAGGACAGGGCTAGTAAGGAAGGGAGGGATATGGTAGTAGGTACTAATGGGGAAAGATAATGTTGATCAAAAGCCTTTGGAATATCCATGAGTTTCCCAAATATTTTCCAAGAATCCCACACATATGGGTCTTAGAATAATTTGCATCTGCTATAGTCAAATTAGATTTCACATAAATAGGTACTTTTACTGGTCTAAGGCTAATCCGGGCAGAATGTTTTTGCCCTCAATCATTAGTGATGGTTCTACAAAAGGGTTCCCTTCTCAAAGGAAGTTTAACTAGTTTAAGTAATTGGTACAGGTAGTCCTTGAGTTTAACAGTTCACTTAGCGATGGTTCAAAGTTATGACATCCCTGCCAAAAGTACTCCCTGGTCTCGAAGTTATGTATGTTGCAATATACATATTCAAACTTATGACATCCCTGCCAACTGTACTTCCTGGTCCCAAAGTTATGTATGTTGCATCATACTGTCGCCCTTACGACTGACCATAACTGACTGTAACATGGTGCCTATTCCCCCCCCCCTATCCTGCTCTGTTGGGTGGCCACAAGCACTGGGCCAGTTTTCCTAGCTCATTAGGTTCCACGTGTTCCTCCACACCCTGTCACTGATCACTCACTTACCTATTGAAGATCTTCAGAGCTCCAGAACAGGCTGGGCAACACAGCAGCAAAGCAGCTATCATTTTCTTGGATGCTGTTAAAGCTGGGTTTTTTCCTTAGATCTCATGTTCTTACACATACTTGTTTTTGCACACACTGCATGCGGCAGGCCGAATTGGATTGCCAGGCTCTCCATTCTCATGCCTGAACCTTGCCAATTGTGCTGCCAGAGATAAGAGAAATGGAGAGCTTGGTGCTTTGATTTGGCCTGCTGTGTATGTCACAGTGAAGATCAGGAAAACAGGGAAGCGTCTGCAGGCTGTGGGGTCTCCCCAAGAGAAGGAACTCTCACCATGGATGCGAGCAGCTATGGGGGTGCCCTCCTGCTGCTGCCAGAGAGTGCAGCCTAGGCTCCAGCATCCAAGGCACCAGAGGGGAACAAACAAGGGTGGCATGGGGATCCCAGGCATGGTGTCTGGTGGCAGCTCTGACCTGGTTCGCTATGAGGAGTTTGGACATCCCTGGCGATGGCACTGCTGCGAGTGACTCAATTCTTCTGCTGCCACTCTGCCCGGCTGCCCAACTGCCCACGGTCTTGCCTCCTCTAGCCCAAACTAGCTTTCTGGTCTCAATCCTCAACACGGCTCATTTAAATCAGTTACCCAGCAGCACATAAAGGGTGCCTCGGTGCTGCCCAGGCTGGAACCAAAGGAGGCCTACAGGGACATGGTAGATCTTCTTACAGACGATTCCATCCGTGTGCAAAAATGAGCCTATGTAAGAACGCGAGATCTGAGGAAAAAAAGCAGCTTTGCCAGCATCTGAGAAAAAGTTGCCCACTGCATGGCCCAGACTGTTCAAAAGATAAGTGAGTGATTGGTAATAGGGGGTTGGTGTGGAGAAGGCACAAGCAGCTCTGGAGACCCTGAGGGGTGGGAAGCAACCATGAGATATCTCAGTGGGTGGGGGGAGGCCTTGAGATGCTGGAAGCAGGTGGTCCTGTTCCTGCACTAGGCCTCCTATGATATTCGTTACCCCTGAAGAACCCCATCTGCACTTAACTACCCATGCATATGATTAACCTATGAATTGGGGAGGGATGAGGCTCGTTTATTTAATGTGATTCAGTTAATGTTACAACCTTAATGGGCAGGCTTCATTACGATTGTATCTCGAGGACTACCAATTAGCATGTTCTCAATCATCATTTTCAAAAAACAGACACATTTTTATGCAGTCCAGACAAAATCTCAGGGATTAGCAACATCAAAAGCCTTTATGGACTGATATGGAAAAGCTATGAAACTGGTGGTCCCAATATTATTCTCTTCTAGTAATCCTTCCAAGGGTATGTTAAATAAACAGAAACATGAATAATTTTTTTAGGAAGATATGACAAATGTTATCAAAGTTACCCATCACTTCTGGAATTTAGCTGCTATGAAGGACCAGAACCAGCACAAAATAATGACCTTGTGTTCTATTCTAGACTCTCCCCCAAAATGTAGAAAAAAATAATAGCCGATAAGTGTCCCAAACCTTTGAAAAAACAGACTAACTTCAACAATACTCATTCCGATATGATCCTAATTTGAATATGCATACCATATTTTTGAATAAAGCAAGGATGAATTTCAATGGTTGAAACTCTTGTTTTAAATCATAGTTCATTAGGAACAAACGATTATATGGATCAGTGTTTTTCAAATTTGACAACTCTGATGAGTGGACTTCAACTCCCAGAATTGGAGCTGAGCTTCTCACGATTCTGTCTGGAAAATTCTGGGTTGAAGTCTACATATGATTTTAGAGTTGTTTCCAGTGATGTGCCTGATTGCTTTACCTCACCAATGGTCCCAGTAACATATTGATCAATAGCATTGGAGATCTCTGCTCTTTTAACTCCAGTTTTGAACTTCATGGAAAGCACTCGTGGGTGATGTCTGAGCCACCAGAATGTTGCCTTCTCTCCAGCCAGGCGGGTACAGTGGATACGGGATTGCTGCCCTGCCCCAATTCCAATCACCTAAAACACATGAAACAATATAATTAAAAGGCATATGAAAAATTTTGTATATACTTCATTATGTCAGTATCACTAAAGGTCATGACAGTAGAATCATATTTTGTTTTCCTTACAGCTTTACTAGTAGACAAAGAGTTTTATTATTTCAAATCATAGCTTTTCAAGTTAATAGTACAAACTATAAACTTAGGACCTTCTCACTACTCAACTTTTGTTGCTCGGTCCTTTTATTTGTAAAATTATCTTATTTCCGATAAGCTACATTTCTCCTCCAGTGTCTGCAGCAGTAGCAGCAGCAGCAGCCTCTGCTTACTCAGCAGAAAATAATTATTCAGTTGTCTCACTTTGTAATCCTCTCTCAGGCCTTTTAGAATGAATACTACATACCACTTAAATCAGGGGTGTCAAACTCGCCATGTCACGTTACGTGACGTGTCGTAACGTATCGTGACTTTTTCCCCATTGCTGGAGCTGGGGTGGGCCCGGTTTTGGCATGACGTATCCGGCCCGTGGGCCAGCAGTTTGATACCCCTGACTTAAAGGGAACATTTTTTAGGGAGCTCCTGCCTGAGCTTCTCCACTGATGTCACATTAACTGACTCTCTGGAAACTGACTGCCTTTTACTCGTTCTATAGGCACTGCAGGAGATTCAACAAGAAGCAAAATAAGTCTCAGGATTCATCTCTTGGAATGAAAAGGAAATCCAGGGATACCTTTTCACCCCATACCTAATCCCTTAGACCAGAGCTCCCCAACCTTTCTAGGTTGGCAGCCCGAAGGGAAAGGGAGGAGTAGGGAAATGTGTGCACTCCTCCTACGTGCGCACATGCAAACAGGCGTGCGCACAGCAGGGGCGCTAGCATTTGCGTGCAGGCACAAGAGGGCCACATGCACCCGTGGGGCTGGCACCTATGTGCATGCGCAAACAGGCCACTAATCCCTGCATGCATGCACAAACAAGCCACTAGCACTAACATGCATGTGCAAACGGGCTACTAGCGCCCCTGCGCATGTGCAAATGGGGCCACTAGCCATTCCTGCGGCCTGGTGGCCAAAAGGACTCGGCCCGGTACTGGGCCTCGGCCCATAGATTGGGGACCCCTGCCTTAGACTACAAACTGCTCAGATTATTGTTCCTTCTCCTTGTTGAACTCTGCTGCAAAATTTCCTTGTATATCAAGCTATAAACCCTACTGCCTTTAGGACCGCAGCGTGCTTCTAACTTGCCAATAGAGAGGGGAGGAATTATATATATATATATAATTCTGTCTTTTAAACTATATCAAAAATTGAAATAAAATACGAATCAAACTCTTAATTGAAAAAGCTTTAAGATACTCAGCCCTATCCCTTGGTGACCTCATTTGTCATATACCTCCTGTAGTTCTTGCAGGTTTGACCCATTCCTCTTTAAGAAGCCAAATCTATGTCTGCTTTTAGGCATACCATCCACTATCACTAAACACATAACTATCTTTTTAAGCTGTGGTCATTTTGTGGATATATTTGTGCTCATTAACCATCATCACTCTTTAATTCTATAGTCTAGCAGGCAAATCTCTGCCTATGCATAAAACTATTAAAACGTCATTAATCTAGGTCAGGGGTTCCCAACCGGGGGTGCGAGACAATATTCCAGGGGATGCAAAAACTTGGATTTTCAAAATTATAGTGTATATGCATAATTTGTTGCCGTTATTTCAAACTTTTGTAAGGGGTGCGAGAATATATCAGAAGTGTTCTAGAGGTGCACGATATAGAAAAGGTTGGGAGCTGCTGATTTAGGTACAGACAAAACAAGAAATTAGCTCAAGCCTCACTATATATGTGTATAATCCAAATATACTAATCAAGTATATGAGTGTCTAAAATGACCTGAGATCTGTCATTTCAAATTGAAAGAGTGTACATCAGCAAAAGATCTTTGTTCTGGATGATTCCCTTAGTACATTTTCATTAAGTACTACAGGTGAAACTCGAAAAATTAGAATATCGTGCAAAAGTTCATTTATTTCAGTAATGCAACTTAAAAGGTGAACCTAATATATGAGATAGACTCATTACATGCAAAGCAAGATAGTTCAAGCCGTGATGTGTCATAACTGTGATGATTATGGCTTACAGCTCATGAAAACCCCAAATCCACAATCTCAGAAAAT